AAACAAACAAACAAACAACCTATGTAATGGAGAAACCTGTCAGAGAAGGGAAATTTAAATATTCTCCACTAAAATAAGCATTTAGAAAAGTGGAAAGAATGCACCTTGTAGAAGACAAAAAATGTGTGAAACCCTGTTGAGTTTTGGCTCTCACAGGTTTCACTGTTGCAGTGTAGTAAAGTACCTGGTATAGCTTTTCTAGCTATAAGTCTTTGTAAACTCCATGGTGGAATTTGCTGTGAGCAACTGAGGAGCTCCTGATTATTAAAGTTACCCACCTGGGGTATTTCTGTTGAGAGTGGCACAAAGCAATGTTCTGGGAAGTTCGCTGTCTCTCAGGTGCTTAGAATTCTGATGTTATGTTGGCTACTTTGGCTACTCTGCCAGGCTCAAAAGGAGGCTTCCTAGAGGCAGAAGTCTCTCTCTGACTGCTGGCTAAGAAGGACGTGCTGCTGAGAGAAACTTGCTGCTGAGAAAGAGATACCAAGAGACATGCGCTGCTATGAAAGAGACATTGAGAGACACGTGCTGCCGAGAAAGAGACACCAAGAGACACGCATTGCTGGTAGAGTGGCTGAGAGAGACTGTTGGCTTGAGAGATGGTGGGCTGAGAGAGACTGAGTATTTTTCCTGAACTTGAATTGTAGCCTGGTGCTTCCCTAATAAATCCCACAGTCTGTGTGGCCACTGCAGTGAATTATCCAACCCAGCATAAAGGTGGTGAGTGCTGCGGGAGGAACGGTTGGTGTCAGGGTTGGTGAAAGGGTTGGTGAAAGGGCTGGAGGGAGGCAGCATGTCTGGACTCACAGGAATAGGCCTTGGGCTACTGATGGTGATTCTGTCTTCCTCTTGTGGGGTTAGAGGAGGTCAGAACATGCAGCCTCCCTGCCCCTTTGGCAACTGTATAACAGATTCTACTGTATTAAGATGATTAGACCTTGAAAACATTATGCTGAATGAAATAAGTCAGCCAATGCTGTAAATTTTTACAAGCCAAAACTGCTACATTTTCCCTCCGACTAGTGGATTCAAACTGCTGATCTTTTCGTTAGCAACCAAACGATGACCCACTGTGCCACCAGCGTTCCTTACTCAGCTCATGCTAACTCCTTATTAAGTTCATATTCTTATTTTCCAGAACAACTATTTCCCCCTTCTTATGTCCTCAAATCTTCAGTATCTCCTTCCCTTCATTTCTCGGGCGACAATTTAATCTCATATTTCAATTTTAAAAAGAAAAAGAAGAGAAGCTGTCTGACAGAAATCCTATCATCTTCAAACCTACTAATCTACCCCTATCTGTCACTGTCTTCCCAGAAAGCACAAATTTCCAAGGCCCGATCAATGGCCAATCCCTCCATTTATCTGTGGACCCCAAGACCTCTTACCTTCTCAAAAACTATACTTCTAACTCAGAAATAGATCCATCAACCTATGATCAGCTGATCTTTGGCCAAGGGCCTAAATCCATTAAATGAGGAAGAGAATGTTTGTTTAATAAATGGTGCTGGCAAAACTGGATATCCATTTGCAGAAAAATGAAACAAGATCTG